TATATATATATATATATATATATATATATATATATATATATTTATATAACAGCATATAACAGCAGTAAAACACGGCGAACTGAGTGAACATGACATTAGAAGCTCAAGAATTTGGCTAAAAATATATAATTTGTATAGCTTACCACTCAACGTAAAAAAAAAAAAACCAGCAACCAAAGAAAAGAGGGAAATATTTTTCTCTGCTATGTCTTCCTGGTCCTGAGCGATGAGAAGATTAAGAAACTCTGAGAGCAAAATTAGCTGTTAACCGGAAAGCAGCAGCACCCTCTTTGCTTTCTTTTACACAATGTATTCGACTTCCTAGAAAAAGTGAGCAGGTGCTTCCGCCATTCTTTCCTTTTTCTTTCGTTCAGTGCTAGACAGCTATAAGAAGTTAAAAAAAACGTATTCACTTTTTATGCATATATATAAATCAATAATAGATACAATACAACAGCCAAATAATCAGTTTGTTTCTTTCTTGTCAACTTTCTCATGTAGTTCTCATTATAAAGCTGTGAGATTTTGACCTATTCCACCAAGAAGGAACTATGCAAATGTGATACACTAAATTTTTATTTTTCCAGCCTTTTCAATAAAATAGAATATACTAGTCTAAATCTTTAAATATAGTGAAAAGCATTAAATTCTTTACATTCATAATTTTAATCAAAGTAACAATAAATTTTTTTCTAATAAAGATTCTATGTCCTTTCTAACTCTGAGAGCTTTGTTGTTTGGAACCTTACTTTTAAAAACTCACTAGTTTTAGTTACTGTCATGATGCGTGGTTGGTTTGCTAGCCCAAGGATGCAGAACTCACAGACTCAGAGGCAGGATAAAGTCCAATATTTATTTATGAACACCGGTAATCTGCCCTGGAAGGCAGAGAGGACAGAAAACAGGTTAAACTCAGGGATCAAAAACTAAACTGAAAACTCACGGGTTCGCTGGTTCAGACAGGCAGAGTAGCACAGGTGACGGACATGGCAAGGCGTGGCAAAACATGGCTAACATGGCAAGACATGCTACATGGCTTGGGAACACATGGCTTGGGAACACAAGGCTACGATCCGGCTCAGAGGGAAGCTCTCCCTCAGCTTAAATAGGGAGAGCTTAATCAGCAGAGTTGATGGGGGTCAGGTGTGAGTGCTGAACAGCAGCTCCCAGGGAAGGATCCATATCGCCCTCTGGAGGGCAAACCCCTGGATCCAAACAGAAACAGAAGCCCACAGAATGGAATCCACACCGCCCTCTGGAGGGCAAACCATGGATCCCAACAGTTACTAGTTGCTTCTTCAAAAAAGCAACTGAGTAAGTAGCTCAGTTACACCTCAATAAAAGTAACTCGTTACCAGTAAAAGTAATTATGCTGTTATTTTTTATGATCTACAATGTTGAAGAATTTGGATAACAGTTTTTTTTTTTTAGGAATTTTACAGACAACTAGTGACTCAATTATGGAATATAATATGTTTGATAATTAATGAATTAGATAATACCTGAAAGGTCTACACATCAAAATGTTAATTAAATTAAATGCTAATATGTTAATATGCTTGGTGTGTGTAGTTTGACAAGGGAGTTTCAATATAATAAAGTAGATGTAAAGTTTTATGTTTATAGTAAAAGGACAATAATTATATTAGAACTTTATATTTTTGAAAATTGACAGAATTTAAAAGGCTTTAAAACAGATATAAAGCTAAAAATGTATGTTTTTCGAGAAATTTAACAAAAATAAAATATATTTTGCAATATAATTTAACAGGATGAACCTATTAAAAAACAAAAAAACAAGCAGGACTGTAAGATCCTAACATTTTTGAAAAACTTATACCATGCAAAACAAATCAGTATAGCACTGAGAAAGGAAGAATCTACTGATTAAAGGCAGCAGCTGTCAGTGTTGAGATGATGGAAGGAACTTCTTAAGTTAAACTGACGTTTATGAAGTCTTTGAGCACACAGATAATATGCAAATCATAGAAACATTAACTTTCAGTAGGCAAATTTTCTACAGAACAGATGTCTATGAATCAGTTGCTGTGCAATCATCTCTCCTCTGTGTTCATGGTATGCTGAAGCTGCACATCGATGACATGCGTTTACACATGTACAACCCTTTAACAGAGGGCTTCTCGAGAGGAAACAGTTTCTTCCCCGTTATTTCTTCCCCACTGTCATCAGACTGCTGAACTGTTGAGAAAACTCAAAATCATGCCACACAGTCTGCATCATACTGATAACATCAAACCAAAAAATCTGGATATTTGCACCATATTCATTAATACTCAGAACTTCCATACCAATGTGGTTTTTTGCACCATGTTTTTTTCCACACTGTTTACATTTGATCACTGCTGCAATTTATGGAATGGAAATATTAATTTACTGTCTGAAAAGCTGTGCTAAACTAAGTTTCGTTTTGGATACACCCTATGTATACAAAATGACAATAAAAGTTCTCTGTCTAAGTGTAAAATTGACCTGAATGGTGTTGTTTTTAAATACATCCAGACTGCTATTGCTCAGTAGCATAACATAGAACCTATTATCTTCACTCAATGGATGCATGGTTAGAATGTGAGCAGGGGTAAATAATGCTGCTTCAATCATACCTCACAAAGGTTTGCAGCCCTCAACCAGCAATTAAACATTGTGAGTCAGTTCTTCCATTGTACAAAAACTTTTCACATCATTGGATTTTTTTTTTTTTTTTATTAGCTCCACCTATACAACATATATTTCCTGATCTTTATCTTCTGAATCTCAGGTTCATAAAAACTGATACACTGATAATAAGACAAACAGTCACTCACAGCTGTATTCTTCAACTGTACAGTCAGAGAGACCTGGTTTTCAAGAATCAATGTCCCAAACATATTATTTATTTTTGTAAAATAAAATTAGATACAAATAAGGTACAAAAGCTGTCTATTCGTTGGCCATGGTATTTGGTTACGTATCTCATCAACCTTGGATTTTTATGATCAATAGGGAATTATTTGCAGGGATGATCCTGGATATTTGTAGGACAACATCATAACTGCTCTTTCTTTGGATCAAGACTGTATTTCCCAAATAACCTTAGACTTGCTGTCAGTCAATGCTTATCGTAAGTTAACTTAAGTTAGACATGGGTGTAAGAAATAATGTGTTAACAACTCAAATATAAATCGGTAAACAGTCAATTTATTGGTCACATTGGTTAAAGAAAGGTGTACGGATAATTGGTGATTTGTTTGTGGAAGACACATTTATGTCATATAATGATCTGAAAGAAAAGTTTAAGTTAGAGGGACAAAGCAACTTTTGGAAATACTTACAAATTAGAGACTGTTTGAAGGACAAAACAAAATTTCACTTGGAGAAAAATTCGATAGAGAGTTTTTTTACAACTTCCACCTTTACT